TCCAGCCCACCAGACTTCTGAAGTGTGACATCTTGATTAAGTGGTGGGTACATGTGTTCTCAAGCTAAACAATGTTAACTCGAATCCGAAGTTCTGCTGCTGTTAAACATGGGTTTTGGGCAAGTTACCAACCTCCGAAGCTCCAGCTTCCTCATCTGTGAAATGTATGTGATGTTAAACTCTTCATGGTTGAGAATTAAAGACTATCTTTCTCTATAGGTCTGTGAGAGCACTGTTCTCCCTAGTTTTAAGGTTAGCTCATTTTAAAGGGTTCCATGAGTGCTGTTTTCTTCATAAGTGTTTTACCTAGGATTGGTAGGCATCTACCATGCTTGCTGATTTAATTCCTCCTCTTCTAAACCTTTAGTCTCCTGCTCTCTGGTGGTTCTTTCTTTCCTGGGTTTCCCTTTCCCCATTCTCTTTAAAAAGAAACACTCACATACCTATCCCTCCCTCCCTCCCTTCCTTCCTTCTTTCTTTCAAGACAGGGTCTCACTATGGAGCCTTGACTGGTTTGGAACTTAATATGTAGTCCAAGCTGACTTCCGACCTTGAACAAACAGAAATGCCCCTACCTCTGCCTCCCAAGTGCTGAGATTAAATGCATGTGCTACCATGCTCAGCTATAGTTTGCCTTGGTGAAGCTGGCTTACTTCACATAACACGATAACTTCTGAGAGGAGAGAGTTGGCTCAGTGGTTAAGAGAATTGACTGATGTTCCAGAAGACCTGGGTTTAATTCCCAGGCTGTCTTGTGTCTGATCATGCCACATGCCAGGATCAAAAAAAAAAAAAAAAAAAAAAAAAAAGGAAGGAAACACGATAACTTGCAAGTCTGTCCAGTTCTCATGAGAATTTTCCTGTGGCCAAGTCCAGATCCACTGCTCTATTCCTAAAGGTTTCCTGGGCCAGACTGAGTCATGTGTTGCTGGTTATTGATACCCTCTTCCTCTATCACCAGACTTCTTTTTTTTTTTTAGAGATTTATTTATTTATTATGTATACAGTATTCTGCCTGCATGTTTTGCCTGCAGGCCAGAAGAGGGCATCAGATCTCATTACAGATGGTTGTGAGCCACCATGTGGTTGCTGGGAATTGAACTCAGGACCTTTGGAAGAACAGTCAGTGCTCTTAACCGCTGAGCCATCTCTCTAGCCCATCACCAGACTTCTTCATGGAGGGACCATAGCCTGATAATCTCCAAAGACTGAAATTTATCTTTTAGGCACATTTTGTGGACTTGAGTTGCATCTTTAACTAGAGAAGCCTTTCCTGGGACTATGGGATGAGTGACATTGTATGGTGAGACCGGAGTCCTTGACCTTGTCTCTGTTGATGTTTAGTGCACACTACTGCATGTGTGATGCATCTCTTTGTATCTGTCTCTTGGTTCTCTTCCTAGTCTTCAGTGTTATGCTTTGTAGACAGTGATAGACTTGATTTGGAATTCAAGATTTTGACCTAACTACACAATATTAAACTCCTTCACATTCAGATTCTCCTATACAGTAGGATCCCAATATCAACCTTATGGGACTGTCAAGAAGAATAAATTCAGGTTTACACATATAGTTTTCCTTTGACACACACATACATGCATATGTACATACACACACACATAAATATATATTTTTAACTAATGTCACAGATCTGGGGGATGATTTGTAGGGATGGCTTCTTCAAAGAGGCTCCAGGGTAGAGTACAAGGGACAAATGGCCCTGGGAATGCCTTCTCTCAATCCTTAAAAAGAAACACTTATAATCTTATCCATTCCTTGGGTTTTACTTTAATTGTGGCTTTCAAACTACTACTGTCTTAAAGAGAAGAAAGTTGTCAGCCCCCTGGGACTGTCTCTGCATTGTTCAGCAGATACTCGGTCCTGCCAGACTTGCCCTTCAGGGGAGGGAAGTGACGTCATCCTTGGTCTGGATTTTGCATGAGGATAGAAGGAAAGAATGTGTAGTTGTTTCTTGAGTGCTTGCTGGACTGGGACTCCAGCCTTGCATGAAGGCATGAAGCGCTCGGAGAGCTTTGAGCAGGTGTTTTGGGTTAGCGCTCCTTTCAAGGAACGGTGGAGTGTGGCTGGAGGAAGTCTCTGAGCTTCCAAGTTTGGTGGATACAAAGCTGTTGGAGACTCAGATGTTGGCATTTTGAGGATCGTCTGGTTCCACGAGTAACAGTAATGGAGGATCCCTGGAAAGGACTGGTTTGGCACAGTTTTCCTTAGAGTCACGGCTTGCAGGAGATAGCCGTGGACTCCAGAGAGGCAGAGTGTTTGCCGACACATGTGCCTACACACATGTGCGTGAGGCCCAGTGTTTACCATCACTGACAGCCCGTATTTAGAAGCAAAGTTGGAAGTGAGAAAACCTCCGCAAAGTCACGGAAGCAGCATTCTTTGGGTGGCAGATGAATGGTGGGCACTCCAGGGAGCAAGACCTTTCGTGCCCGGGGAGATGATTCTAAGGCTTCTCAAAGGACAGCAGCCATGCCCAGCCTCTATATACATTTCTATAAAGCAAGAGGTGTGTGTAATGCATTCTTTTACCTCTTGGGAGTAGGCTTTGATTTTACCACCAGTCCCAGAGTTGCGTTCTCTGTTTCTCATCATACATAAAAACAATCATCAAAACCACTCGTAACCTTTAACCACTATATTTGACCCAAAAATGTACATTTTTTCATTTAAATAACCAGATCTGCCATGTGCAGATACAGCCGGATGTGACCCTCACCCGAGTCTGACCATGCTGGAACCCAGAGCTTGGAGTTTTCACCTTTAAAACTGTGAGAAATTTTTGAGTTTTTCAAAAGCTATACAGCTGGGGAGATGCTCAGCAGGGGAAGGCACCTGCCTCCAAGCCTGATGACCTGAGTTCAGTCCTTAGGGCTCTGAGAGAACCAACTCTCATGGGCTGTCCTCTTACCCTCTTCTCTCTCCAAGAGTGCTGAAGCATGTACACGTACACGCACACACACACACACACACACACACACACACACACACACACACACATACACACACACACACACACACACACACACACGGGGAGGGGGGAGAGAGAGGAATAAATAAAAATGTAATTAAAACTTTTTAAATTAAAATAAAATAAAGGTATCCACTTTGGTGTATGTTGTGATAACAGCCTGAATGGACTACAATTTCAACCAGGGTATCAAAGTAAATATCAACAATAAGTCATATGATTTTGGGGGAGTAACTCAGTGGTAGAGCGCTTGACCAGCATGCATAAGGTCCTACGTTCAATCCCAAGTTGTGAAAACAAACAAACAAACAAACAAACCCAAAAAACAAATGAACAAACAACAAACCAATCCAAATCAGAAAAGCCATTATGTCAGGTGGTAATCTTTTTTTCTGGGTGTGCTGTGTTGAGAATAACACTTTGCCTATGTGATTTTCCTCCACCCAAACTTAATCACAGTCTAATCGTGAAAAAAAAAATCACAAATGAGGGACATTTGGCAAGATTCCTGATAATGACCCTTCTAAATCACCAAAGTCATGAAAATAGAAGCGGAGTCTAAGGGACTGCCAGTCAAGTGCCACCTAAAGAGACGACATGGTGAAAAGATGGGCAACTAGCAAGCCAAACCGAATGTTATATGTGCTTTAGTGAATGATATTGCAAGAATACTGGTTCAATAATTGTGGTGAATATCTTTTTGTTTGTTGAGACAGGGTCTCTTGTAGCTTAGGCTAGCCTTGGCTCCTGAACCTTCTGCCTCTGCCTCCCAAGTACTTGCATTACAGGTGTTCGTCATCATGCCCAGCTTCAGCTGTGACAAATATATCCTACTAGTGTGCTATAAATAATAAGGCAAAGTGGGCGCACCCTACACAAGAGCCTGTGCAATTCACTTTGTGACGTTCCCATAAATCAGAAACTGTTCTAAAATAAGATTATCTAAAAGAAAAAAAAAGGCAATAGTAACTACCATATACTCAAATCAGTTCATCAAAAGGAAAAAAATAGAGGCCTGCTGGCTTGCAAATACCCTTAAGATCACCTATTCTAAAGATTTCTGATATTTATATCTTCACATAAAATACTATGAAAATATTAACCAGAAGTCTAATCGTATTGAACGAGTTCAGACTCTCGGGCTGATGAGAGGTGGTGCTCCTATCTCTTCTCCATAGGGTCTCTTCCTCCTGTTTGCCTCCAGGCTCCTCCGAGGAACGTCTATTCCCAGAAGGCACCCTCCTACTCCTCCAACCCCCATAACATCCCAATATGTCCTTGAATATCTCTGGAAGTGCATTTTCCCTTTCCTAAAGAGAGCTTTTGATATTTTTATGGATTCTGACAACTGCCATGATTTTGACATTCTCTGTGTGATGTTGGATCCAGTCTATTTACAACGTTTATTTAATAGCCACAAATCCATATGGTTTTGTCATGGTAATTCTTTTACCTTTTCCTCTGCCCCATCTCCATTACCCACTTCTTGGATAGGATAACTATTCTTTATGCCTGTAATAAAGAGTGTGCTTCTGTCCTCTACCCTGGACCAATGTGCTGACTGCTCTAGACAAGGTCTATAGGCTTCTCCATCCCATGAGCCTTTACTGCAGCCAGCATCTTCTTCCTGCCAACTTGCATGCCCATTGCCCCTTTACCAAACACATGGATTCCATCCTCAGACCCATGATGCTATGCTCCTTTGTTTCCTAGGCTGCCCAGTGCTGCAGAAAGATGTCCCAGGAGCATGCGGAATAGTGCTTCACTAAAGATGTGATTTCTAACCCGAACTTGGCCTTTCTTGTTGTATATCTGACTTCTCTCCCTACGAAGCTATTTATTTATTTTTCTTTCTTTAGCGACAGTCTCACTCTGTAGCCTGACTGGCTTTGGAACTCACAGAGATCCACCTGCCTCTGTTTCCCACGTGCAGGTATTAAAGGAGTGTGCCATCACACCCTGATGACCTTACTCCGGCTGGAGGTGTATAGTTAAGCGGTAGCGAACTCACCTTGTGTGGGGAGAGCCTGGGACTCGGGTGCCAGCACTGCAAACAGAGCACACGGCAACATTAACAACACACTTTGAAATACGCCCTTCTTCCCCCCCAACTCCCAATCCCACCACTCACAGGAATTCATCCCACTGGGTGATTCTTCAGTACTCTTTAAAGAATGAACCTGAGGTGAGACAGGCAGAAGTGGTGGCTAACTCCTGTGATTCTGGCTGAGACAGGATTGGCACGAGTTTGAAGGCAGCCTGGGCTACACACCAAGTTCCAGGTGAGCATGAGCTGACTCAAAAGAGGCTTGAGTTGTGAGATGAGGAGGCCTTTGGCATCTTAGCACCCCACCTAGTCACTAACCAACAGCGCCCTCCTCCTGTGCGCCTACCAGGAGTGTTGAGGTGCCATGATCTCCTGCTTTCTCAGACCTGGTTTAATCGATTGTCGCTCATATATCTGGCTTTCTCCTGAAATTACTAATTTTTTTTCATTACCAAGTTTAAAACTTAATTTTGTTTTTCTTTTTCTCCTTTTTTAGGGGGTGGGGTCGGTAGGTTTTTGGATAAAGGGTTTTTCTGTGTAGCCTTGGCTGTCTTGGCTCTGTAGGCCAGGCTGACCTTGAACTCATAGAGCTCTGCCTGCCCGTTACTCCCAAGTGCTGGGATTAAAGGCCTACACCACCATCACCCAGCTAAAACTTAATTTTCCAGCAAAGAAGTAAAAAGTGTTATCTCGAAGAGGGGCGGTGGCACATGCCTTTAACCCCAACACTCGGGAGGCAGAGGCAGGCAGATCTCTATGAGTTCAAGGCCAGCCTGGTCTACAGAGTGAGTTCCAGGACAGCCAGAACTGTTTCACAGAGAAACCTTGCCAAAAAAAAAAAAAAAAAAAAGTGTTATCTCAATGAATATACAAGATACAGAACACAGCAATAAAAACGATCACTTTCACAAGGCATGGAGCTGACTTTGGGTATATCCTCTAAGCCCTGTGATTCCAAAGTCTTGTGCTCAAGACTGCCAGCCCAGCAATTTCTCAAAACTCACAGGCATAACCCTGCTCTATAAGGAGGCATTCTGAAAACCCAAGCTTATGTCATAGATGACGAAAGTTACGAAAAGACATCTGTGACCAAAGCACAGGATGCAAGTCACAGAAAGCATGAAATTACTCTCATCAATATTACCAAGTCCTCTTTAATATCACATTTACTTAATTCCTTCATCAAATGCTTTTATTCAAGTTTTTATTTAGCTGAACATTTAACATGTACCACTGTACCACGTGATGCAGTGTGGACATGCCACTGAGAAACAGGGAGAGTCACTGCTGTGTGTGTGTGGCGGGAGTAGTAAGGAACGTATAAGTTTATAATCTATTGTGGGATTGCTGAGAAGTGAATCAGGACAAAGTGGAGCTCCCCAAGGAGGTAGCCCCTGAGCTGAGAGCTGAACAGTATAGTCCTGAACTCTTCATGGATCTAAGGGCAGGGCATGTCAACTCATGGGATCATGGGAGCAGCAAAGACAACGATCCAGAGCGAGGATGCTGTAAAGTATATTTGAGAAGCACTCAGATGACCTCTTCACGCTGGGTGTGGTGGTGCATGCCCATAATCCCAGTGCTTGAGAGGTAGCGGCTGAAGGATTAATTTAAGGTCACCTTCCTTCGCTACAAAGGGGGGTTGAGAACAGCCTGGGCTACAGAAGACCCTATCTCAGAAACAAACAACCACACAGGTAAAGCAGACAAATCATCAGGTTGGAGGCAGAAGGCAGGGCAGGCGGCAGATGAGATGGAAAGAATGGTCTCCAGGTGGTGTGTCTTTGACTGCCGGTAGTGCTTTCCGGGTTTAATCCCTGGCTTTTCTCCTCTTCCCTGGCTGCTCCTAACCACCCCCACCCCACTTTTGCAAATTCTCTTCTGCTTGTCCTTTGTACATGGGTGTTTGGTGAGAATCCAGCCTAAGCCACCCTCTCTCTGCTCTGACCATCTTCTCCCTGCCAGGGCACAGAGAAGCCACGCAATCAAGGCTGATTGATTCTATTCTCAGGTCCACAGTTACTCTGTCAACTTGCCTCAAACCCAAACTGCGGTCACACGTTTATCTGCGATCTGACCAAGCAAAGGTTAAAATTGCATTCTGTGCTCCCTGATTGAGGGTCTATCATTCTATCACTGTAGCCTGAGTCTGTGTGTGGGTCACTGAGATCGTCCTCAGGGTTAGCAAGATTTAGGTGACTACATAATCAACCTGTGGATTCCATTAAGAAAGGCAAGAGTTAGTCCTTGACACCTGGTTCACACTGTTGACCAAGAGTTAATGTCCCCCTGTCCTCAGAAAGACTAGATAACAAGGAGGGCCCAAAGAGGGATGCATACATTTCCCTGGGAAGGGGATATAGAAGAGATCTCCTGGGTAAACTGGGGTTGAGGGTAAGCAGGGATGGAGGAATGGGAACTTGAGGGAGCAGAGAGGGATGGGCGGGCTGGGTGCCAGAGGTTGGTTGGGGGAGGGGCTGAGGGGAGAGTAATGAAAGAGACCTCTTGATGGGAGAGCGTTTTGGGGTTAGGGGGAAACCTGGTGCCAGGGAAACTCCCAGAAATCCACAAGGATGACCCCAGCTAAGACTCCTAGCAATAGCGGAGAGGATGCCTGAACTAACTGGCCATCTACTGTAATCAGATTGGTAACTACCCTAATTGTCATCAGAGATACTCTATCCAGTAACTGATGGAAGCAGATGCAGAGATCCACAGCCAAGCACTGGGCTGAGCCCCAGGAAGAAAGGGAGGAGGAATTGTATGAGCCAGGGGGTCATGACAGAAACCCACAGAGACAGCTGACCTGAGCTCCGGCCTCTGGACCAACAGTTAGGGAGCTTACATGAGACTGACCTGGGCCCTCTGCATTTGTGTGACAATTTTGTAGCTTGGAATCTTTGTAAAGCCCCTAGCAGTAAGATCAGGACCTGTCCTTGGCGCTTAGCTGGATTTTGGGAATCTGTTCCCCAGGCTGGATTTACCTTGCCCAGCTTTGGGGGTTGGGGGTGGGAGGGGGGGTCGGTCCTATCTCAACTTGATGTGCCACACTTTGTTCAAGCCCATGGAAGGCCTGCCCCTTTCTGAATGGAGATGGAGGAGTAGGGGTGGGGGTGTCAGATGTCTGGGGGGGAGGGGAAAGAGAGGAGGCAGGGGAAACTGCAGTCGATATGTAAATTAAATAAAAAATGTTATTTTAATTAAAAAAAAGAATTCACAGGAAAAGTTTTCGAACTCCACAAGCTGTCTAGTGGTCTCTGCTTACATTTCATCTTGAAGTATTTGGCTCATTGTCCACAGTTTCCAGGGTTTTAGGGTCTTCATCAGCCACCATGGTGGTTTTGCTTCTGGGTTTCTCACTGTCTTGGATTTTGACAAGGAAGCCCTTTGTAGCTGATAGAATTGCTGAAAGAGAATGAGGCCAGAGACATGCCCAGCCCCCCAGATAATTCAATAATTTCTAAACCTGCTCTGTGACTAATAAGCACACTCAGTATAATGGAATCATTTAATCTGGATGCTAGCAGGGACATGAAGATCTTAGTCAGGTGGGCGGGTTTTACAGATGAAAAGACACAGGTATATGAGGTCATTCCCCCTCCACACAAGCCCCCCCCCCCAACAGTTGGAAGAGGAACTATGAAGATAACTCACATGCCGGTTACTCTAGGTTGATCTATGAAATTTATCTGTGCCTCTCCTTTTTGTCTCTCTGATTTATTGTATGCTGACATATAACAAACCATCCTATCCAACCCTAGGATGGTAAAACGTGGAAATGGAGGACCAGGGAGACAGCTTGGTGGTTAAAGTTCTGGGTGAGCGCAAGACCTGAATTTGCACCCCCAAACACCCATGTAAAAGCTGGGCATGGTGGCATGCGCCTGTAACCCCAGTGCTGTGGGGTGGAGTCGAGCACATTCTGGAAGCTCACTGGATAACCGATCTCACTGAAATAGAGACTACCAGGGTCAGTGAGAAGCCCTTTCAAGAAACAGTGTGGAGATCAATGGAGGTGGATATACTCACATCAGACTCTGGCCTCCACATGTACCTGCATAGGCGAGGGCAGCTTGCACGTGCACACAACACACATCCATTACACACATTGCACAAATGGGTTTTAGAGCCTCCAGAAATTCAGGGTGGGCAGGAGTTGTAAGTTTAGGGTGTTTCATGAAGCTCTGCTTCAGTGGCTGGGGTCGTCTGAGGCACTGACTGGGGCCAGTGTGTCCAGTTGCAAACTCACATGGCTGTCACCTTAGGACTGGCAGCAACAGGTCTCATTCTGCACCACGTGGACCTTTCCCTAAGGCTGTCTGAGGCCCTAATAACATGATAGAAGTAGGCGGGGGAGGAGTTCTTAGAGCCTTACCTTAGAGTAAGGACTGCCTTATTTCCACTACCTCTGGTTAGTTACAGAGGTCAACTCCATTTGTTGTGGGAAAGGACCTAAATATACACAGGAGTTGAATATCAGGAGGATAGGGCCTCTGGGCCGTCTGTCCAGCGGCCTAACACACTGGCAAGCACCACAGCCAAGACTCTTTCTGCCTTTGCCTAGGGTAGATCTAGATAACCTCTGAATACTTCTCATCTTCATCTAGTTCTTTCCCTTTCCAGTACAAACTCCATGCAAGGGCCAGACGCATCCTGGGAAAACACGGTTCTGATAAGTTCATCCTTATTGCTTTGTCCTCTGGTATTTTATAGAGAGTCTAGGTTTCTTGTTGTTAAGATGATCATAAATTTATAACACAAACAAGAACAAGGCCAAGAATGAAATGATCTTCTTTTTAGCAGTTACTCATAAATCAGAGATGTAAAGTAATACTGTCTCAAGGAAACCAGGAATTAGGATCTTTCTGGCTATTAGTGAAGAATTCGAATGTTTTTCTTTCTCTTGGTGTTTTAAATGCTAACAAGTACTTCCTCTATTACAATTTTCTGTCTTACTATCAACATTGATAGCCCTTCTGTTTCACACAATGCCACCATGTTGTGCTTCCTAAACATGGCCAAACTTTAATCTGTTCTTGGTTTGCATAGGCTGTTTTCGTCAGACGGAGTAGCTTCTCCATTCCATAGCTTGTGTTCTTCACAGCTGTATCACCAAAAATTCTACCCCAGCATAAGTGACAACTCAAAAAAGCTCCCTGACTTGCAGACAGCTCCACCAAAAAACTCACTTCTCCTCCAACAATTGTTTACTTCTTATACAATCCAGGGGAGAGGAGAGACCTTGTAAATTTCTGAGTTTCCTGAGTCCTGTAAATTTCATGAGCTTTCTGATCCTCATGAGTTTCCTTAGTTTCTGAGTCTTTCTTGTCCTTCCAGGAAGGAATAATTCAATTCAGAGGGAATAACTACACAAAATGGAAACGTATTTCTTATGGTTCTGGAAGCTAAGAAGATCAAGATCAATGTGGCCACAGGTTTTATGCCTGACAGGGCGCTGTTTTTGTTTTTAAGATACTATCCTGGGTTGTGTTGCTTTCTGGTAAAGGCATATAATTGGTAACTGTGGACTCTGGGCTGAGAAGAACCATGATTCTGGTGAGACAGAAGCCTAATCAGAGCCATGGCCATAATAAGATTTTATAGACATGAAACATGTGAAGCCTCAAACAAAGCAATTCAAAGTCTACCCAAATCTACCTCCAATAGGGATCAAGGAACTGTACTCTGAAATATGATGGAAGGAGGGTTTCCTTATATGGCAGCCAAAACCAGTGACACTAAAGATTTACTAGAAGGTCAAGTTAGAAAACAAAGAAAATGCATGACGAATTTTAAGTTCATGTTAGTTTTTATAGTTGCATATCAATGTTTTATAATAAAATGCCTCAGAGCTGCAATGTGTAAAAATGATTCAGCACAAACCAAATCAATGCTTTGGCATATTTTCTTGTTTAAATTTGAGAACTTTAAAACTTGACTGTAGTATTTGGAAATGAATACTCAGTAGTGACAGATACATGTACCTACCAATGCCATGAGGACCAGCCTCCAGCAGTGCAGGGCTCAAAGGAGATCCATGGAGTGAGTGTACTAAGACTTTTTTATCTGAGGGGGTAAGGCCAAAGACACACACACACACACACACACACACACACACACACACACACACACTTGATGGTTTCCTTCTTAATCTATTCTTCTTCCAACTTTATTTTTCCTCTACAGCTTATATATCCCAACAAAATCTTTCAGGCAATATAAAAATTACAATGTGGTTACATTCTGTTTTTCAAAGTGAATGATTATAACGAATACAGGTAAAAAACATGTTTTCCATTTCCCTTACATGATTAATTATTTTATGTATTACAGGTGAAAAACAAGTTGTCCCAAAACTCCATATATATTCACATCCAAACAACTTGTTATAGATTAACAGAGTGTAAGCAAGCAGGGTATTTTTCTCAGCCAGTTCTTTTACTGGCAGGCTGTATATTGCATTCATAAAGAATCAATCACTTTATTACTTAACTTGAAAGGTAATCTTATAAGAAATCTTAGAATCACAAATCTAAACTTTTATGTGTGAAAAAACAGTCATATCTACTTTAAATCATCAGGGTGCATACCTACTCATCAACAGTTTATAATCAGGAAGCTAAGGGAGAAATGGGCACAAGGAATTAATCATCACCTTTGGTCACCAACCCATCCTAGCAAGAAAGGCGAGTCAGCTAATGATAATTGGGCTGCTTTGTTCTTGTTCCCTGACCCTAACAAGTTCCTCACTCAACTATGTGCCTTTCTAAAACTTTAGATTGTCTTCTTGGATTTTTCACCTCAAAGCTATTTGACAGCAACATCTTAGTCTAAACTTAAGTTATTTTCAAAACTTTGTTTCAGCTATGATGCACTCCAAAACCTGTGAACACATTTCTTAACATTAAGATTAAAAGGATTCAAGCCAGCTGAGCTACTGGGATTCAGTTCTTTTTCTTAGTCATTAACTTAAGCCACAGCCTATATGGCTCCTCAATAAAAACTCATGTGTTTTGGCTTCCTTGTTTTATTTTTTATCCTCTGCAGCTTCTGCTTTTTCAGGGGCAGGGGCAACATTTTATCCTACCTTTATCTGTGTTAATTTTTCCACCAAACGAACCTCAATCATAATTTCTTACTCTATTTATTAAAAACCCGCAATCATCAAAATCCTTTTTAAATTAACACGATTATTGTATAAAATCCTTGCTTCAGTTAAACAGTACAGCTAAGAGGAAATCATCTTCATAACAATCCACAGGTAAAAATGTCCAGGAGAACGGGATATTTCTAAGAGATGGCCACACTGCATTAAGAGCAATGGGGTTCTCATTCACACTGTGCCCATCCACACCATGCCAGATACCAGAGAAAAACGGAAGTGGCAAACATGCAAAGACCCAGCAGTAACAAGAAACATTCTGGGGCTGAGGCTCTCGGGGCTCTGCCTATCCAAGATTCACCCATCAGGGTTGTGTTTCCCGGTGGGCCGATCCCCTGAAGTCAATCGCCATCTGCTGCTCCTCTGACATGGCCATTGGCATGTACCTATTCAAATGTTAGCGTTGTTGACTATTCATTTAGCAAACGGTTGCTGAGGATCAAACCCAGAGCCGCACGTATGCCAGGCAAGTTCTCTATCACTGAGCCACAACATCATAGCAAAGAAATGATACTTGCATGTGCTCTTTGTGGTAACCAAAAGAGTCCTAGCATGCTAATGCAGTGGTTCTCAACTTGTGGGTCACAACCCCTTGGGACCAAGTGACCCTTTTACAGGGATCGCATATAGGATACCCTGCATATCAAATATTTACTTCACGGTTCATAACAGTAGCAAAATTACAGTTATGAAATAGCAACGAAAATGATTTTATGGTTGAGAGGTCACCACAACATGAAGAACTAACTGTCTTAAAGAGTCACGGTGTTAGGAAGGTTGAGAACCACTGATATAATGAAGAACACATAGATGGAAATTAAATCTATATGGTGAGTACATGATGGAATTAGCACAAGCTGCTCAGCAGGGATTCTTCCCAAGTACAACCTCGGCTGCTTGGAAGCTGTAATTAAAACTGAGGTGGTGAGATGGCTCAGTGGATAAAGGCACATGCCACCAAACCTGATGATCTGAGTTCAATTCTGGGAAATGGCACAGTAGAAGGAAAGACCCAACTCCCATGAGTTATTCTGTGACCTCTACACCTATGCTGTAACGTACGTACGTACGTACACATACACACACACAAATAAATAAATAACTATAAAAAAACTCTAGCTGCAACTTTGACCTATGGAATTACATATTTAAGAACACTGGAGGCTGGGAATTTAGTTCAGTGGTAGAGTGATTGCCTAGCAAGCACAAGGCCCTGGGTTCAGTCCTCAGCTCCGGGAAAAAAAAAAAAAAAAGAAAAAAAAAAAGAGAGAGAACACTGTACTGGAGAGGAAAAACTCTACTATCATAGGCAGATGAGTGGAAGAACCAGACAGAAAGGCTGAGCAATTTCTGAAGTTTCCTTTTTACACTGGCACCGGTGCCACCCATGGGTGGAGCCCTTATGGTCTACCCCTTTTCAAAAGTGTCCATCTACTACTATTACTATGGCAATTAAGTTTCACCACGTACTTATAGGGAAAACCAGTCAAACCACACAACCCTCCCTAGAAGTTTATAACCTTTTGAAAACAGAACTATATCACACCCATTTAGTGAGAATCTTGGTGAGAAGCCCATGTACCACCAAACAGTGTATTAGATCCTTAGGAAAGTTTAGCTTAATGAAGTTTAATGGATTCTGGGAATTTTCCTGTAAAGATCTTATTGACTTCCATATAAGGAAGGGCTCTTCTATTAAAGGTGGTTTTCTTTCTTCGCTAACACACAAAATCAAATAATGAAATTTTAGAAATGCATAGAGGACAATAAGGAGCCTTCTTGTCCTTGGAAATAAGTAGAGAAGAGTAACAAATGTAATCACAGTAATAATTACAACCAACTTGTATGGAGCCAGCCTACTCTGAGACCAGAGGAGCATGTGTCTTATTTAGCTGTCACCACAGGCAGGAACTATGATCAGCTCCACTTGCTAGAGAGGAAAAATGGATTGGAAGAGCTGGATTTCCTCTGTCGCAGCAAGGAGGTGGCAGAGTAGGGACTCCCAGCCCTGCGTAGCCTGGCTCTGCCCTCCAGAACAACACGGGTTTTTCTGCTCCCTTTCCTCCCTCCAATCCATTGTAATCTTACAATTACAATGGCTGGAATTTTCCAAATTTAGAATTTCAGAATGCCAACATCCAGCTCTTTGAAGAAGAAAGTTGCCTTTTCTACTCTAGCTCTTTTATTGAATGTATTTAAGGCACACAACCTCTGAGTGTGTGTGTGTGTGTGTGTGTGTGTGTGTGTGTGTGTGTGTGTGTGTTCAGGGACCAACCCCATAGCCTCACACCTACTAAGAAAATGCTCTAACACTGAGTCACACCCCCAGCCCACCTCAGTCACTTTTTAAAGCCTTCCTTTTGTGAAATAAAATGCAGACACAGGAAATGACACGTGAGAAACAGAGTGGCCAGCCGCATGTGTCAGAAGCCCCCCGAAACCTGTCCCAGTCACAGCTTCCATCCTCCACAAAAGGATGGTTCTCTTTACCAAGTAATGATTTCCGTATTTTCCTTTATCACCTACTGTGACAGTCGGTCGACATTCTTGTGCGGTCTTTTCCTTTAAATAGAAAATCGACACATCCCATCAGCCTCTTGTACTCTGGTTCCTCTTGCAGCCTTCCCTTGGAGTTACACAAGCCAGGGTAGCACATTCTGTGCCCTGTCTCACAGTGTGGACGCTGCAGGTTACGCTCACAATGCGTTCTCTGGCCGCGCTGTCTCCTGCAAACTGATTGCTGGAAGCGGAAGGTGGATCTTCTCAGCTGGCTTGTGGGAGGGTGCTGTGACCTCTCATCAGGAAGCACACCCTGTCTGCTTGTCCCTCTGTTTTGTGAGGCGAGTGGTCTTTGGAACTCAGTGTCTTGATTAGTCAGCTCCCTGGATGCTACAAAATGATGATAGTCCATAGTTACTTGGTTAGAACACCTTTCAAAGGAGATGTTTTTCCTCAGCTACTATGGACCATGTACAGTCAGTACAAGAAAGCAATTTTTTTTCAATTAATTGATTTAAAAAAAAAAAACCTTTTTGTTTTGTTCCCAGTGATTTTGCTCTGCAGCCCATGCTGTCCTCAAACTCCAAGTCCCCCTTCTCAGCTTCTTAAGTGCCAGGTGCCAACACCCAGCTTAATTGTTTGTTTTAAAACCTAGTCCCATATCCCACCCTAAAATGCAATAAACGGTGAGCCAGAGAAGTTAAGTCACAGACTCTAAGTCACACAGCACCGCGAGTCACAGAACTGAATTCACTAACCCATGGTCACAGGGCACATTGGTAGCAGAGGTAGAGTTAGCCTGGTGTTCTCCTGTCTTCCACACTCTCTTTCAGGAGCAGAACCCCAGGTTTGGAACCCAACAGCTGAGAAAAAGAGCAGCAAATCCATCTCCGAGGCGTTGTTCCCCCTCCCCTCTCCCAGCTCCTCCTTTTCACTTCTCTGCCTTGCAGCCTGGCTAGGCTCATTGGTAAGGGGTGGACAGCCCACAGAGTCTGCACTACTCCAAGACTGCGGTGCACTGCCAATGCTGGATGCTCTCTCTGCTTGGTGTCAGGGAGGAAGGGGGCTGTACTCGGTTGCTGTGTTGTCAGGCTCTGGCCACCACAAGGCACCCTCCGGCCAAGTTCTGTCTTGCTGAGTCTCAGCAGGAAAGTAGGAGCTCAACTCGGAGCAGAAAGCTCCAACCTCTCGGCTAGATGAGAGAAAGCCAAGAAACCGCTCTCCATAGTGAGTTTCAAAATCAGGAGGGGCGGGGTTTGACAGAAGAAACTGGGGTAAGAGATAACAGAGAAAATGGCAAGGTAGTAAGGAAAGAGGAAAATGTCTTACAGCCTTCTAAGTGAGTATGTGTGGGGGGGGTGGAGAGGAAGGGAGGGAGGGAGGGAGGGAGGGAGGGAGGGAGGGAGGGAGGGAGGGAGGGAGGGAGGGAGAGAGAGAGAGAGAGAGAGAGAGAGAGAGAGAGAGAGAGAGAGAGAGAGAGAGAGAGCCAGTTTTAGACCACTCAGCAGTACATCTGTTCGTACACATTCACTCACATAACCGATGACCTCAGAGTCATTTCCTCTTCCTGTCCCTTCTCTGCTCTTCTTTCAGGCGGCCCTGCTCTTCCTCCCCACAAGGCTTTTTTGATCAGAGGCAGAAAGGCCAGTGAGAGATAAGAACATGCTATTTTGCATAGGGATGCAAAGCCCAACCAGCTTGTTTCAGAGCCTCAAGGACAGCGGCTGCTGCGGTGACTCTGGTCAGTGTTTGGAACACACTGTTGTGATTACAATGGAGGGTAAAGATGGTTGCTTGGACAGGACTCTTAGGAGGGAAATGAATCTTTATAGGAGTGATATTGCTTATATCACCAGGGCAAAAAAGCAGTATGTTTGAGCTTAGAGACCTCAAGAGGCTGATCACCCTAGTGCTTCCTTACTGTCAGAGAGTCTGAAAGACTTTATCTTTGGACAGGCATAGAGTGTATTCTAGGCAGGACACTATAGTGTAGTGGGTTTTTTTTTTTTTTTTTTTGTAACTTACGATTGTAAAGTTGATTTAGCAAATTGTAACCACAATAACATAGAGGAAAAAAATAAAATAGAATACACAACAAGCCAGGATAGATTAAATGGGAAAGTAAGTGTTTCTCTAAATTCTTTGGGTGGTGTGTGTGCATGTGTGTGTGTGTGCATACACCAGTTGCATTGTGTTTCTTATTGAGGTTCATAATAAAAAATTAAACAGCATTGCTCTGTAGGAAGTCTTATGGGTACAGATGATGAGATGGTTCAGCAGGTAAAAGCTTGCCGTCAAGTCTGGGGACAAGAGTTTAGTCTGATCTACACACACAAACACACGCACAAAGAAATAAATGTAGTAACAACGAAGTTCTAGGGATAAAGGCCTGAACTTCCTATGGGCTGTGCTGGTATGTGACTCAGCCTGACAGAAGCCTTACTTTCCTCCATGAATGAATGGAATCAGATGAGTGCACAGTGATGAGTTAATAAGTTCCTTCTAGGCCCCGGATTCCATAATGTTTAAGATGAGTGAGAACTCATCCTTCCCCAAAGGGTTTTAAATGGAAGAGATGACGCTCTCTCCGAAGTAAAGGCTCACCATATATCGCCATGCTTGTGCCATTTCACAAATATTTCTCCTTAAAAGTATGTTTTCCTTAGGGCTCAACTCACTCATTCATCAAGTGTACAGTGATGTGGCAGACCCTGGTCCTGATGCTGGGGAGTCGCTGCAGAACCCGTGAGGTGTCTCCCTAGCAGCTTTCTGCTGTAGTGCCTCCCCCTCCCCCAATATATTTAAAGGAAAAGAAATCCAGAAACATCTTACAGACACAGGGGGAGAGTTATCTTTTTTTTCAACCCCTGGTTTCTGTGCTCAGTTTCCAATTCCAGGCAGGGGGCATACATCCATGGAATGCCAACAATGTGAGGCTTCAAGGGGTCTATTGTATTCAGAGGAGTGACTGACCCAAAAATTCAGTCTCTCTGTCCATCCCTAGGAGCTCTTGAAAGCATGGACCTGTCCCTGGAAAGCAGTTCACATTCACTTTAGAAGTGACCATTTTTAGCTCCTTGATATATACATCTACTGTCAGAAAAAGGGGATGAGAAGCATCCTCTGAGGACTTTGGGGACAGGCTAGCATCTTCCTGGCCCGAAGACCCAGGAGTCTTGTGTGGAAGAGGGGATGGCCTGTAAAATCTGCACTTGGCTTTGGGGTGCTCAAACTGAACTCAGGAAGAACCATGAGTGCAGAAGCATCTGGAGTCATCCTGGCCAGCAGAGGGCAGTAAGAACCCGTTCTCCAGCACGTCAGGTCTGGCTCTTAAAGTCACAGCTGGGTAGTTGTCAATCTTTTCCGTACATGTTGGGATAGGTCAGAGCTCCCAGAATGACAAGGAAGTGAGCATAAATTGACATGAGCTCCTCTTTCTCAGGTTTTGAAAGTAGACATGCAGGTGCATTTTATTTAAATGATGTTGAAGGAACACCAGTGGGCCAAGTTCTGAACTGAACTCTGTGAACAGGGCCTCTATAAGGCAGAACCTTTACTTTCTGGAGACTTAGAGTCTGGATTCATCCACAGGCAACAGACAAAAGGCTTGTTTTCCCCTAAGGTGGCTCCGTGTGGCTCTGAATGATGAGGGTGTGCCATGAGGTAAAAGCTCTAGAAGTTAGGATTGTTATTTTGACAATTTCAGGGGGGGACACCGTAGAGCTCTGTGGATGGAATTCGGGTGGCCTCTGGGGTCACATCTGCAAGAAATATCAAATCTGAGTCTTTCCTATCAAATACTATAAAACTTGTGTTTAGGACAAGGAATTAGAAGACTCAAAAATGTTTTAATCCTCCCTAGCCAGTAAAACCTTTGTTAATTCAAGAGCCCACTACTTTGTTCTGATGGCCTGAGCCTTTTCTCCTTGGAACACTGAGTCACTTTCCCTTCCTCCATTTCCTATTTGCTAATTCTGTGAGCTGGCTGGGGAGGTGAGGTGGGGTGGGAGACACAGTTACCACCTTCCTTAGACTAAAAACCAAGTGCACTTCCTATCTTAGGCAGCCTGTGCTTGCTCTTCTGGAGCACACCCTCTTGATCAAGAGTCAAGTCTTGTCCAGAGACCACAGTTGAAATGGTGGTCTCTTTGCAACCCTGAATTTATTTCTAATACAGCTACATTTTGCAAAAGCAGCAGGGAGTGATTCTGTAGCCTCCTGGGGGAACCCTGACCCAGGGGTCTCTGTTCTCCCAGATCGGCTTAGAGGAATAGGTCTGCCATTGTAAACCCAAGTTTTCCCAGTGTCTCTTTGATACTAAGACTGCACCTTCCGCAACACCAGATGAAATGGAAAGGAATAATAATGTGGAGCATTAAGACAGTGCAGAGGCCTGTCAGTGGTGGTGCACGCCTTTAATCCCAGCACTCAGGAGGCAGAGGCAGGTGGATCTCTGTGAGTTCAAGGCCAGCCTGGTCTACAAAGCTGATGCCAGGACAGCCACGACTGTTACACAGAGAAATCCTGTCTTGAAAAACCATACACATTAGCTGGGCGGTGGTGGCACACGCCTTTAATCCCAGCACTTGGGAGGCAGAGGCAGGCAGATCTCTGTGAGTTCGAGGCCAGCCTGGGCTACAGAGTGAGATCCAGGAAAGGCGCAAAGCTACACAGAGAAACCCTGTCTCAAAAAACCAAAAAAAAAAAAAAAAGAAAAGAAAAGAAAAACCACACACACACACACACACACACACACACACACACACAAAGACAGTGCAGAAAACAATTGGGATTGTGTTTGTGTGTATTTACAGCTAGTTGTTTGTATGGACCAACTGTCATCGTTTGTGTCGACTGAGGTCTAGGCTATGCTAAAATCAGTATTGCACTTTTTCAACAAGATGACACCAAAGGTCCCTTCAAAGCCAAGTCTTTGATAACTACAAAAGCTATGCTGAAAGGCAGCTACAGACATATAAAACGTTTCCCTATGCCACTACACTCTTCAACCTAGAGAGACAGTGAAGCTCCAGGAGAAGCCCAAATGCCCTTGGAAGAGTGCATCAGAAGAAACAAACTTGGCCTCCCTGCTGACCTTGAGTTCTGGCCACCCTGTGTGTCATACAGGAGATAGAAGACAACAGAATACTTTGTTTATTTTGAAGATCAAGGCCAACAAGCAAGACTGCCAAGAAGCTGTAAGACTCAAGTTCGAGGACTCTGATGCGTCCAAAGTCAAGGACCCAATCAATCCCAAAGGGCAGAAGAAGGCGTATGTTCCACAGGCTCTTGACTATAAAATTAGGGGCTTCTGAATTGAATCGGCTGATTAATTCTCAATACCCATTTTTCACTATTGAAAGAGTGTTGGATCCTTGACATCAAAGATTTCCAACCAAGAGAGAGAATTCTATTTTGTTTGTTTTGTTTTCTACAAAAACTTGGAGTAGTTGGTGTGTGAAAGAATGTCTCATATCTCACTGCTTTTGAAGGAAAGAGCAGAAGGTGGAAACCCTCTTCTTTGCACCCCCAGAGCCCAGAGGTGTCACTGCAAGACAGGTTGGGTTTGGTGAGACTACCTATGAGCTCCAACAATGGAGTTTGTGGGCAACTGGGAATGAATGACTGAGGGCCTCCTGGACACAAAAGACTCAGGGACAATGACGCCAAAGATCTTTGTCCTGTATCCATTTTCCCTCTTGACTGTTACAGACCCAACCTGTCAATCTTTAGGTTTTTGTTTTCGTAAGTCAGACCTCTGAGACTGAAGCCCTCCAGCTACTAACAGTAGAAGCTCCTTCTGCCCTCCAGATAAAGTGCAATATTTATGGTTTCAGAAAACATATGTAATATGGCAAGGACGGCAGGGGTCTGTGCAGCTGGTCTTCCTTTGATTTTATTGGTGTTTGCCCATAGGCTGTATTGGTTGGTGCTGTCATTACCAAGAACCAGAAGAAAAGAAATGTGATTGCCTAGCTTGTTGTTTAGGCACTTTTAAGGCAAGAAACACTTTAGAACTGGAAGTAAGGACTGGATTCTCAAGTCATCATCAGTTTGCCTCATAATGGCTAGTGAAGTGCC